GTCCAAAAATGCTACCGCAGTGTGCCGAAAGCACACTAGAAATGTGTCAATGGCACGCTAAAAGCATGCTAGCAGCACATAAAAAAGCATACTAGCAGCACATAAAAAGCATACTTTGGCACACTTTCTCCATGCCATTGACACAATTTAAGTGTGCTTTTTCTAAAAGTATGCTTTTCCGGGACAGTGTAGGGAGAGAAATTAACTTTGTTGGGAGAAAATAAACACTACCCTTTTTCCTTTCCGAGTACAGTCGGGCTGAGTCTACCCTGGCTACAATTCCTGGTACCGCCGCTACTGCGCCCTGCATGTCTGTATGTCTGTGCGCAAAATACGTCAAAATGACTGTTAGATATTCCACGGATAAGCCAATCATAAGAGAGTATAACAGACAATTCTTTTTTAACCAAAATATGAGAGAAAATATTCAAAGAAATGACCTGAAATACCTGTAGATAAAGAGAAAAAAAAGCTAACCAAACCTTTCCTGTACTCGCAAGAGAGATGTCGCCAGAAACAAGCCTAAATTTAATAACACAAAAAAAGTTGTGTACGGACAATGACAGTTACAGAATATAGATAATCTATCATAGATAATCGATTACAAACACTTCAGGCCCCTTGGGATCTTCAGAGGGTGTTAGGAAAACGTTCTGACTTCATATTACATTAGGTGCTTTTTCAGTGGAATCAGAGAAGTTCACCTGGATGCGAAAGCCGACTGAAGGGAGGCGTGAGCATTGTCATGAATTGAGAAATATTTTTAGACCTCTGGGGAGGGTCTTGACAAACCTTTTCAGATGTATATTAGACTACGAAGCTTACACATCAAATCAGAGTCTCATAACATATTTTAGATAGTCCCGTATCGAACACTGACCGAAAGGAGGTGTGAGTGTTGTCTTGGATTCACAGCCATGGAAGGTCCTTCGCAGATATAAGTCCCTAAAGTCAAGGAAGCGAGAGAGTGTCACTAGACGGGCGTTACCTTCCTTTTTCAAGTTATATCTCTGAAGATGACGCAACTAGACGGCGTGTTTTCAATAATTAAGAAAATAGGACAATTTTTGTTTTTGTATGATTGGTCAATACATCGTATTTTCTAAAGGTTAATCTAGCACTAATTTCGGAACTAAACGGTAGTGCGATGTAATCGCAGTCATTATTATGTATCGTGCCGTGAATCTTCGCTCTATTGCCGTTTCTTTGTGAATATAAATACAATCACATCAAAGTTAATTAATCACGAAAACACATCACGAAACTGAATGATCAATTTCAAAAAGGGTTTCTCATAGACTGTTTTATTTGCTTCTGACGAAAAACAGCGCATAATATGTGAAGAGTAAGCCCAAAGTTGAAAAAATGAAGTACTAGAACTTGATATTACAAATGAATTATCTATTATTCTTCAAACTACAAGATCCTTCTCGCTTTCTGCGCTTTTGTTTTATCGTATACTGAAATTTTTAATGATTAATATTTTGTTTTTTCTTCAGAACGATCGTTTCTCTTAGCTAACCAAATCATTCGATAAAATATATATTTATGATGAATTATATCAAACGATAATAGTTACTGTAGTTAAAACTCTATTATTATTTGTTCCTGGATCTTTTTCGTTTTTGTTTCGTCAAAAAAATTTATTTTCTATTTCTCTATTATCAATAGTGTACAAAAAATGGGTCAGACTTTAAGTGAACCGGTATGTAATATTTTCTATATGAATAAGATATTGCATTAGACACTTTTCCTTTTGTTTCTTGGTAGATTACATTAAAGAATTCTCAAAAAGTTGAAAATAGTACTTACTCAGTAGGCTCGAGCTCAATGCAAGGATGGCGTATTAGTAAGCTAAGCATTTTTTTAAAATAAAGAAATGCATCTATATCTGATTTCCACCTTTTATTAATCAGACATGGAAGACGCTCACGTTCATTTATTATCATTGCCAGAAGATAAAAATTGTGCTTTTTTCGCTGTTTATGATGGACATGGAGGTTTGTACGCTCATTTTACACACCTTTAATTAACGTGTAATAGAAAGGCTTTGTGTTATTTCTAGGTGCCAAAGTCGCTCAACATAGTTGTAAATATTTGCATACTCGTATTGTCACTCAATCAGATTTTAGTGAGTTAATTGTTTCTTTGCTGTTTATGAGAATTTAGTCGAACACAAATTGTTATCAATGATTACAGAAAATTTCAATATAAAATCTATCTGCTAATGTTGCATTTTTTAGAACAGGGAAATGTTGAAAGTGCAATACGGAAAGGATATATTGAATTTGATAAAGAAATGTCACAAGGTATAGTAGCCCAGGATTGAAAAAAAACAAATGAAATAGTTTTCTTTTGTTTTCATAGATGATGATATGCGAGAAGATTTGGCTGGCACAACTGCGTTGAGTGTTCTTATTAAAGATCAAAAGTTATATTGTGTAAGTTAGATTTTTCTGTAAGGATAAAGACTATTTTCCAAAAATGCACTCGTGTTTTGTGGGAAATATCTAAGTTCTTTCGCAAGAAAGATTTTTAATACTGTGAACTTTGTCTGTCCTTCTGCTTTTTGAAATAATGAAGAGCAGAAATGTGTTTTTCGACCTGATATTTTCTGAAAGACAAATTTCCAAAATAGGGATCTGAAAAAATTGAAAAACTCAATTTCTGTTCCGTGCTTTTCCGTTTTAATCTAAACTTTCTTTATTAGTGATGATAATAATAAGAGATAACTCAATAAAACGTAACTACATAATCGGAACGATCTGTACGCATAATCCAAAATATTTATTTACAGTAAATAAATTAAACATCAGTTATACTCTTGGTTTAGAAAAAACACATACATTATAATTACAAAGAGGTATAGTTTGTTGTTGATGAGCATGATACCTAGAACAACAACAGACAAAAAAGGTACTATAAGAGATAATAAAGAGTTAAAGAGGCGGTTGTGCGTAAGTATGTAGAAGACTGCTGTATTTATAAACAATTAGTCTTTCACTTGAATCTTTTAGTTTTAACAGCAAACAGAACTAACTGCGCTGACTACCACACTTGACAGGTTTTTGCAAGAGAAGTATTTTCAAATAAAAGGGAAAGTAGTTTTGGATATGTCTTGCCTTTCAACAGTACGGCGCGGACGGTGACAAAGGAATGTCTGATTATTTTTGATCTAACTCGATCACAATCACAGCAATGAGAAAACACCAAGTTTTTTAAAAATAAATCATCGTTCAGCTGTCAAGTCGAAGACTATATTATTAGGAGTGTCGTTGACATTTATGTGTATTATCTTCAACTCTTTTCCATCGTTTCTCGATACTTTTCAATTGCTTTCATATTCGTTGATTAATGTTAATAGTATAGTATTTCAGCTATTATCTCTTTCTGAAGATCATCTGAAGTTTTACTACCTTTTACTATTTCACTTTTGCTTCACAAGATCGTTATTTATTAGTAAGTCAATTAATTACTTCTTCACACATTTCTGACTGGATCTGTTGAACTACAGAATGAGTTCGATTTTGATCAGTAGTATGCATTGTCACACTATTTGTGATTCTAGATGATTCTTGTAACTGTGTATTATCAGTCAGTTGCAGCTTTTCATAATAATCACATATACATGATCTTTATATTAGTCTTTCTTTGACGAGATCGTTCTCTGCTTTTTCAAAACTTTTTGTAAAGTTTTCTCTTTTTCTACTGCATATTTGATCGAGCGTTCTCTCAAATGACTCACTACATAAAGGGTTTTCGTTAATGGTCTTTAAAATTATTTTTACTATCAGGTTTGTCATCCGTTTACATGCAAATATTTTAGGGAAATGTTGGAGATTCGCGAGGAATCGCTTCCGTAAACGGAAATGTTGAATTGTTATCAATTGATCACAAACCAAATAATGATGATGAACGAAAAAGAATAACGTCCGCGGGCGGATGGGTAGAATTCGGACGTGTTAATGGTACGTGAAAATAATTTTCATGTTGCATGTAAAATTGACATCTTTTTTGATTCAGGCAATTTGGCATTGTCACGTGCATTGGGTGATTTTATATTTAAACGCAATACAGACAAACGCCCCGAAGAACAAGTAGTTACAGGTAAATATGACAAAGTTTTGAAATTGTCAGCTAATTTATGTTTATTTCAGCGTTTCCCGATGTTATGGTTAAGAATATGAATGAGGACTGGGAATTTATATTATTAGCATGTGATGGAATTTGGGATGTATTGAGCAACGAAGAAGTACTCAAATTTGTTCGTGCAAGAATCGCACAACAAATGCAACCCGAGCATGTATGTTTGTATTGGAGAGAAGATGCATAAAGTTGCATAACATGAATGTTCTCTATATTATAGATTTGTGAGGAGTTAATGACACGTTGTTTAGCACCAAATTGTCAAATGGGTGGTTTGGGATGCGATAACATGACTGTTGTTTTAATATGTTTGTTACATGGCCAGTCGTTTTCTACATTAGCCGAGAAATGTTCCAAGGGCATGTCGAATGGTGATACCAGTAATCCAGATTTGAAATAAACATATATATCTAAGGTCTAAGGATAAAATGGCCACTTGACATTACCTTCACCTTCAGCTTTAGCTTTTCTTAGTAAATGTGATCCACGCATAGGTACACACACACACACAGAGCACATATACATGGACAAACAATAAGTTATTTTATTTCTAATATATTTCCTTTCTCTTTTTCACTATGGACAGCAGAATTCATGAAATAGATATTTTTTTTTCTTTGTTGCTGTTTTCAAACAAAGCCAGTTTCATTTTTCTTTGACTTGTGTATATATAAATTCGATATTTTTCTTACACTCGCACGTACACATGCATATACATCAGACTTTTGTTTCTTCATGGTATTATCAAGCAAAAAGTGGGTATATCAATAATAATTTTTTTCCATTTGTTTTTCCTTTTTTATTGTACAGATATATATTATACTAACATCTTAATTCTGTCGATAGAACAGTATAAAATGCAACAATGTTTGTTTCGTGCTTCTTTTTACAACGACACGAAATGTAGTTTGTTTTTTGTTTTATTTTTTGATATACTGTTCTTCTCTCATTTTTTTCACAAAATATCCAGTTTTGTGCTCTCTCCTTTTCTCTATTTTCTTTAATTTTGTTTTTTCTCTACATTCTAATTTCTTAAAACAACAAACAATCGAATTCATTTCTCCTGTTTACTTGTTTTCCACTTTTTCTTTCATACAAAACAAACGAAGATTACATGTTTTGCGCTTGATTTTTGACTTTGTATCGTTTTTTTTCTGCTTATTTACATTTTTCTTCTATTTCAGAAAGTACATACGGTTATGAATTTTGGCCAAAATGCATATTTTTTATGTTTATATCTTGACAATAATCAAGAGAAGACCCCAATAGACACGTCTTTCTAGTAACTGAACAAGCAATATTCTGAGCAATTGTTTGTAAATTGAAATTGTATCCAAATGGGGAGGGGAAATTTTTTCTATGTTTTTATCCGTTAATCCTAAAACTCATTCTTATACATGCAGTGTTTTTGCTTTTTTACACTCCTGTTGAAATTCAGTTATCGAAAAGCCTTCAAAAGCAGCAGAGAAATTGCAAACTCATGACAATTCGACAAGAAATAATATCTTTCAAGACATCGCCATTCTCTTGTCATGTGTCGGTCGATCCGTGAGAGAATTTTCGATGTTTTGAATATAATGTGAGAATTATATTGCACATGTCTTTAAAAACAGACTATCATGCTACTTTCATCCTTTGTCATTCATCCATTTTATTTTAATGCTTAGTCAGAAACAATAAGTAAAACTTATCTTTGCAACATGCGTAAACGTATACAAAAAACCAAAACAAAATTTGTTGTTCAAAACATTTATTCTTCTTTTGTTTGTACTGTACCACGAATACGACCAGTGCGTCTGGCGGCGATTAGACCAACCTAAATGACAAACAGAAATAAATTGCAAAAAATATGCCAGAAATGCAGGAAAAATAAGAACATAAACAGACCTTTCTGCCAGGTGGTGCATATCTGCTGACTGTAGATGGTTTTCCAATATGTTGATGATTACCACCACCGAATGGATGGTCAACAGGCTAAAAAGAAAAACAAGCAGGTATAAACTTCAGTGGAAAAATAACCGTATTTCGGGATACTTACGTTCATACAAACACCACGAACTTTAGGCCATGATTTTCGTTTTGATTTGAATTTATGAAAGGAGCGTCCTGCTTTCAACATGGGTTTATCAATACGGCCCCCACCGGCAACAATTCCTAAAATACAAAGTACAAAGACAATTCATCAACAAAAAAAAATCGTGTTACAAAATAGTAACAGCAAACCGAAATGTGTGTCAGAAAAAGCCTCTAGATAATAGCTATATATCACTATTTTCTTCATAATAGTATTTATCATTCATCATTTACACATTCGTATTGCTGTATACTTTTATCTTTTTTTTTAAATTTTAATTCTCATCTGTCCAGATCCAATGGCCACTGAAATCAGGTTGTCCCATTGGATCTGTAGCCAAAGACACCGAGACAATGAGCATTAGGCAGCTGGTCCAAGACTATCATACGACTGCCGTTGTCGGGATTCGAACTCCACATCTTTGAAGTACGTTGTCTGTCCACTAGCCTACTGAGCCATGCTGCTCACTATACTTTATACCTAATATCAATAGTACACTTACCAACCATCGCACGATTTGACGATGATAATGTCTTCTTCGCACCCGATGGTAATTTGACTTTTGTTTTTTTTGCTTCTGGATTATGAGATACAATGGTAGCATAGTTTCCTAAAAAGCAAACAAATAATGAAAACCAAACTTTCCAGGACAGATAGTACATTTCTTCGGAAAGCAAAACTAATAGTGGAAATAAATGCATTTATCGTGTACTCGTTGACAAACATCAAATTATCTCGCAGATAGAGTAGTACTATACAAATATAACTGTATTACTAACCTGATGCCTTGGCTAATTTACCACGATCACCAGTTCGTTCTTCTACTTGACAAATCACAGTTCCTTCAGGCATAGCACCAACTGGCATCACGTTACCAATGGTTAATGCAGCTGCAGAGAACAATAAAAAAATAACAATAATTTCTATTGCAATAGCAATTAGTGAAACTCAACAAACAAAATAGAATCAAACATGAAAAATTCACGTTCACGTCAGAAAAAGCCTCTCTATTCAAAAATATCATTTCAACAAACTCAAGCAGATAGATCATCATTTGTGACATGAATCTGACTGTACAAAGAATTTCCTCGCCTTTACAAGAAAAAACTCACCCTTTTTTCCACAATAAATAAATTGTCCCGTATACATCCCTTCCGCAGCAACAACGAGTTCTTTTCGTTTCTTATAACGATATGGATCACGAAAATGGACGACTGCCAGTGGAGCACCGCGTCTAATTAAATCAAGTAAAGGACAATAGAGCCAAGCAAACGATTGAAATTGAAATGAAATACATACCCAGGATCATGAATAATATCCTAAAATGAAAAAGCAGGTTAGGTACACTTAAAACAATGTTCGTCTACCTAAAACCTCTTTGATCTGACTTCGCTTATAAACAAGAGATAATCATAACAACATACTTTTATGACACCACGTAAATATCCTTGCCTTTCAGCATAATCAATTGAACGCAATTTTGCTGCACCTTTTCGATGGAACGTTCGTGATTTGAAAATTGCACTACCACCTTTACGTTGAGCACGTATAACGCGGCCCATTTTTTATTTTAACCTAAAACAAAAGTTCAGTTGGTGCAGTTAAACATATAATAGATTTCTTTGACGATCAGCCGATAAACAGCGGCAAAGAGTATTAATTAATTAGACTAACACAAGTACAGAACTAATAAAATTGAAGCTCCGAGTTATTCAAGCAAACAGTTCATTAAATAGAGTAAGCCTCGTACTCTAATGTTCCAACCGTCACCATGTACGCTACAATGTTTTGCTGCCTTCACATACTATAGAAATACGCTTATATTGAGTAAAGTGTAGCAGAAATACTAGTCTTTATCACAGCATTCAATTATATATGCTAAATTTAATCAGAAATAAATCATACTCGTCATAAAACGGAGGAGTACACTGCGTTAGAAATGGTACGATTAACCAATTACTGAAGAGGAAATGAGTCATCACTGCAGAGTCAATGTCACCTACAATATCGATAAAAAAAATAAAAAAACAACATTTGCACTTTTCAGTTTAACTAGCCTTTATTGTTGTTATTAAAAGTAGTTCTGACATTATGCTGCAATCAAAAGGGATATCTGATTTATTACAAGCGGAGAAAAAGGCACAGGATATCATTGAAGAAGCTAGAAAACGTGAGTGGTTATTTACTTTTTGTGTAATTGTGTGTAGATAAATTTTTTTGTTTCAGGAAAAAATAAAAGAATCAAAGACGCAAAGGATGAAGCAAAAGCTGAAATCGAACACTTCAAAAATGAACGTGAAGCAGTGTACAAAAAATTGGAAGAAAAAGTTTGTATTCAGCTGATTTCGATAAATGGCAGTTTAATGAGAGAGGCTGACAAATAGTAACTCCTTAGGTGTTTGATAAATCTCACGTACTGTCAACTGCGCTGTAGTGATTGCTTATGATGCTTTCTGTGTCTGACTACTGATTAACAATTCTACTTCTCCCGGTTAGGTTAGGTTGGGTTCAGTCGTCATGTGTAGTAGTGTGTCCCTATTATTCAACAGGTCTACATGTCTGGGTTGGGTTAGGTTGGATTGTCATGTGTGTCTTGCAGTGTTTCGCTACTGATCATCAGTTCTATATGTCTGGGCTGGGTTGGGTTGGGTTGGGTTGGGTTATCATGTATGTACTCAACATATATCACTAAATGTTTGGGTTGTCATGTGTGTCTCGCTGACCCTACCCTCACCCAACTCAGAGATTTAGTGATATATATTAACTACAGACATGATAACCCAACCTTACCCAACCCAGAGGTATAGAACTGATGATCAGTAGTAAGTTACAGCCAAAGAGACATGACGACCCAACCTTACCCGCTACAGGGACAACGACATACTAGGAACTGATCTGCGCCTTGCTGTTGTCAAAATTCTTTAGGAACTACTATTTGCCTTCCTACGTTTAATGACTAAACTTTTTAAGTAAAGTGTATATCCATGGTTTACCACTGGATTTTGCGCGTTTTTCCGCTTAAAATACAGTGTTCATGCAATTTCAGAGGACGTCGTATCCTTTGATCGTAGTTCTTTGTTTTTATTTAGACACTTGGTGATCGGTCAACCATTGAATCGGATATTAAACAAGACACGGGAAAGAAAATCACTGATTTACGTTCGCAATATGACCAGAATAAAAAAGAGTTATTAGAACGTGTTATTGCACTCGTTTGTGATATCAAACCCGAATGCCATATTAATGCGCGAGATTTTGTGAAGGAACAACAGAAAACAAACTAACATTCCATAAACATCATAATAAATAGTGCAATGCAGCGTTTT